GCAGGAATGGCATGAGTAGGTAATAAAAGAGGGGTCAATTTGTTCTTCTTTTATCATACAAGTCACATACAAACCAGCTTGTGTCATAAAATTAGGATTCATATGAAATATACCTGCTGTATTTGTTGTGGAAAAGGTCCGATCGAGTTCTCCATCACAACAGATGGAATAGGGCCCCACCTTCTTTTAGTTCGCTTGAGAACCGTATCTCTAGCATGCCTGGTCTTCTGTGTCTCAGTCTAGAAGATAAAAAGACAGGCAGGAATGTATCCATATACTTTTCACTGTGCATACTATTGCTTAATTACTGTTTTGCGCTTCTATCTTTTTTTCCCCTCCATTCCCACTGACCATTTCTTTTTCCAAGGTCTTGATTTGTGATTATATCTGTGAGAGTATGCCAAGAGATGATTTTTTTTTTTAATTATTATTATTCGTTGTAGTACTTTGCATTAATAAAGTCTGCTTTAATTCATCAAACATGGCTTTCAAGATTCTTGCCATTCCTGATTAGGCTCTTTGCTAGCATCTCCCATCTCAGAAAGGAAGTTTGCTGACTTAAGCGACACAGTAATCAATAACTGCTAAATTAGAATGCACTCTACACCAGAATACTTTGCCTGATCATTTGAAATCCAAAATTTAACTAGTTACCCAACACGAAGCTGTACTCTGTTGTCGCAGTTTCACCCCAGGTAGTAATTAAGTACCACACAGACGCTCGCTCACCTCCCCCCCTCACTCCAGCAGAGGAAGAGAATGGGAGCATGACACGAAGAAACTTGTGGATTGAGATAAGAATAATTTTATAGTTGAGTATAAATGAATTGATAGTGATACTAACAATCAGCAGTACCTGCCTTCTCAGGGCAAATCCAAAACATAACCTCATACCAGCTACTGTGAAGAAAATTACCTCTGTCCTGACCAAAACCAGCACATCTGAAAACAGTATTTCAAATTAGTAAGGTATCTTGAAATTAGAAGCTCACCTTTTTTTCTTCTTCCACCAAACTAACATGTATTTTCTTTTGCACATGTTCTTGAATATCTTTAAGTAATATGCTAAAAGTCTTTTTCTGAGCGGACAAAGAAACAGCAGATGTTGTGTACACAGAACCATCCTCTAGAATTTTGAAATTCCCATCACTGGAACTGATAAACTCTGCAGACTGAAGGCATTCTTTCAAATCAACTGTAAGAAAAAAATATTCAGACAATAACTCAAACACTAAAACAATAATATTCCTCACAAAACAAGAAAAAAACATGCCCTAAATAAAAATTAAATTTACTGGCACATGGAGTCTTCAAAATTTGGCCATTCAGTGTTTAAGCATCACAATTACAGATTCTAAAACACATTTATGCACTCAGATTTGACCAAGTTTATGAACAAGAGTGGAAATTCATAGAAGTGTTTCATGAAGGACATGGGTGCTTCATGGATATCTTTCAACAAGACACTGCTACACTAGTAAAATTATTGAAGCATCAGAGATGAACTAATACATTCATTTGAAAAAAACATTGTAGACATGCTCATTATTGGATCAGTAGCTATTACCTTTGCCTTTTGCTCCATGACCCACAAAATCAGTGGAAATGATTAATTAATGCAAATGCACAATGACAATATTACATCCTGGATGTTTTGCCCTCAGGAGGAAAGCACTGATGATTTACTATGTGATTTAATAGTCTTGGGAGGACAAAGGCCTTTAAATTATGAGGCAGACAGATGAGAGAGATAAAGACAAACTCTAGAACAAACAATTGGCAATTTTTTAATATGTACATGACAGAATCCCATGCAGTTTATAGGAAGTACCAACTAAATTCAGCATACTTGTCACGTCTTTTTTACTGCATTTGCTGTCACTTTAAATGTTAATGCACTTCAATAAACTTGGTTCATCAGTGACCAATGCAATACTACAGTTGGAAAAAAGGCAAAATCAGAATAATCATAATCAACTGCAACAGGACCACAGCACCAAGCAAGAACAATTTGACACCCTAGACAAATGAGCTTTTCAGAGTACAAAAGTTGTCAGTATCCTGCTCTCAAAAATCAAATCTTTTTAATACTCCTTCAATGATATCATAGTGGATGGGACCTTGCTCAATGAAAGCTGATTGCAAAATTCCCAGAGGAGCAGATTCAGAACTTCATATAGGTAGATGATGTTTTCAATAAACTAAATTTAATTTCTCTTTCAAGAATGCAAGGACAGATGGGAAGCGTAATTTTAAATATGACATTATTTCTTCCTTATTCTCTTTTAACTGCTCAATTAAACATTTTCTAGTCTTACTATAGTACAGCATCTCCTCTCTCTTGTCAATCTGTACAATGAAAATTTAGTAGTAAAGAGAATATCACTACCTAGCTTAAAGTTGTCTCATAGTGCTGCGTATTACAGCACTACATTTCAAAAAAACCCAGATTGGAGACTTTGTTTATGATGATTATGTGAGTCAACATTATGCTCTGTTAACAATAGCTTTGTGAGATCTCTTTTCTTTACAGCATCTCATATACGTTGCGTAAGTCAGAAATATAAAAAACCTTAGAACAACCAGAAAAATCCTGACTCATTTTACTGTCAAGGTATGGTCCTTGTATCAATGCAAAAATATATTATGCTTTCTCAATAAATATTTAAGTAATGTCATCCAAGCTATAAAGGTTTTGTTAAATGTTTAGGGAAAAAAAAAAGTGTAAGTTCACTATTATACGATTTCTTTTATAGCACTGCAATAAACATGAAGTTTTGTTTTTATAGAAATTACGTTTATTTACACAGAGAAATGCTGAAGCCTCTGAGAACATGCTGAATACTTAAACAGCTGTAGCAACCCTTCATTTTTAAATTTAACTGTAAAGTCAATGAACTTTCATTTTTAAAACCAGATTTTCTGAGCACTTGAATTATGATGAACTACTAACCCACTTTATTTGTTCCTTCTGAAGAATGTGGATTAGGATTACATATTTGGAGCATATTACTCTTTGTCCTAGGACTCACAGTGTACCTCTGAATCCTTAAATTCAGTCTCAGGCAACACAGAACCCTGTAGCAGCTGCTGTGCCACAGCTTTAAAAGCAGCCTTTCAAAGACTAATCTGAAAAAAATACCAAAAAAAAAAAAAAAAGGAGTGGGGTGCATTCTGATTTCCCCTATTTCTCTCAGCCACCTTCACGCTGTCCTAAACTGACAGAGACCATCCAGTCAAACAGGAGCACTCTCCCATCCACACATGCACGCAGGACATCTTTGCAAAACATCCTCTTGCGTGCCCTGAATGCCCCAGCACCACTGAGGGGTCACATCTGTGTTTCACAGAGCAGCAGTTTCTGGATGCTTGGTTGCATGGGTTTTGTCTTCTGTGTGGTTTTGTTGTTCTCATTGTTTTTGGTTTGGTGAGTTTTCCTGGGGTTTTTTTCTTTGTTTGTTTGGGGTAGGTTTTTTTGTTGGTGGTGCTTTGGGGTTCTGTTTGTTTGGGTTTTTGGTGGTGTTTTGGTTTTTTTGTTGTTTGTTTGGAGGGAGGGGGGTGTCTTTTTTCTTTTTTTTTTTTTAACTTTTCCATTATCCAAATGACTTACTGCCTTTTTCATGTGATTCTGTAGTCTATGGGTGCACTTTGGAATATCAAGACACTTATTTAAATACTAAGCTCTAGACTCCAAGCTTTGAAAACATTAAACTCTGCAATTCCAGTTATAAAATAAATACTGTAACCTGACAATGGCTGTTTATGCAAAAGTTAAATGGATGCACAGAGACGGTGTTCAAATCCATAACAAACATAGGGCGTATCCTTCATAAAAACGCTGATCTAGCTGTTCAGCTGGCTGTCCAGTCATCCATTCATTCCATTTAAAAAAAAAAAAAGCCTCCTTCACTTTTAACAGCATCTCCTGCAAAGGTGTAACGTTGTATTGTTAAGATGGACATCTTGACGTTTCTCACCTCTGCCAACTAATGTGTCAGCCTCTAGTTCAGAAGGAACATGAAAAATTACTTTCTTGCAACCTTCAGAGCACAAACTCAGTACCTACAAAAAAAAATTAAGAAATCAGGGGAAAAAAAAAATCACATACATTAAAATTACATTTTGAATAATAACAACAGTTACTGAAGCTACCTTTGGTTTGTTTTTGAAGACAAGTCAGAGAAAAGTCAGAGAAAATACATTTCAGGTAAAAAGGCATATGAAACGCAGCACAGCGTATGAAGCTTCAAACTGAATACATGCTCTGACTACTGCTCCTGGATATGTCTGTAGCTTGTGGGTTTTTTCTAACATCATGGCAGCACTGACATTAAATGGCAAGAGTTCCCTTTGACTAGGTTTCACCTACACTATTACTTTAGTAGAGGAAAAGTAAAATACAACTTCACTGTGCATTCCCCCCAAGAGCATTCTTGGCCAATTTAGATCCAAGGTCTATAAGTTCTAAGGTTCAATCCATCAACAGTCTGTTCCATAGAACTGTGGTGATGCTTAACACTAAAGGGACAAGTGTCTTATTAAAACCACATGACGACACTTGCACTTACAAATCACTTTACATCTTCAAAGTACATTCTCAACAAACTAATTAAATCTAGCTTCAGCAATTAGATATGACATAAATAAAATGTTGTCTATCACAGTCATCCACTCCCATATAACCAGTTACAAAATGGGGTCCTCCCTCAAAATTCAAATTAGTAGTATTTAACCAGATCTTTTTAGGAGAGGAATCATATAGAGGTACAAAGATTTTTCTCAGCATGAACCAATTTAGTCCTGACCTCAGATTATATATATGTATATGTGTGTGTGTACGTGTATATATATGTGTGTGTGTACATATATATCTCGCCTAGTTTCCATCCAGATGTTTAAAATTGTAATCCAAAAATCACACAGCCCATTAAAAAAGTAGAGAAATGTCAATAATGTATTCACCCTTTTAAGTACATATATTCTTTCAGGATGAAAGTCTACTAAGAAGGAAAATAGTTTTTATTTTCCATATAGCTTTAGGATTAAAAATACACAATATAAAAATGTGTATGTACAATAATTTAAACATTCTTTCTTATGCATTAATAGGTACTTTCCTTATTAACAGACACTTAAAGCATCCTCTCCTGATCCATGTCTTAATTTTCAAATTATTAAAATCACACCATCTTATTACATGGTTCTCAGATATTTTAAGAATCAATGACATCTAACTCTGAAATAGTAATAGCCAAGCTAGTCCGATGTCAGCACAACAAACTACCGAGGAGCTAAACATGTAAAAAGTAGTTATTCGTGGAAATCAAGATACCAGGAAACACCAGGTAAAAATAAGCTGCGCTGTCCTTCCACTTTGCGTAAAGAAGACACTTCAGCAGATTTTTGGGTTTGGGTGGAGTTTTTTTTCCACTCGTCAGGGGAATTTCTTTTTTTTTTTTCCCCCCCTTCTTTTTAATTAGATGTGTGAGCAAACTCACTTGGGCTTCATTATTAATATCCTAGCAAAGGCAGACAGCCATAGTAACAACAAATGGTAACACTTTCATTAAAATGCACATATAATTAATACAAAAGTTATAAATTCAGTGCTTCAACGCTACCAAGTATTTTTCTTTCAATATCAGACGATCTTTTTGTGAACGCAATGCTAATAGGGAAGAAAGGGGATAAGAAACAAAAGACAAATCATTTCTACCGTCCACTAAAGAAAGAAGGAAAAAGGAGACCTCCCCTGCTCTCCCCGATAAGGGACTTTCTGTAGCCGACAATTACGTACAAATACAATAAACAGATGGTGAAGGAAATCGCTGAAATTGTCCTATCCAAAGCTAGCTCTCGCAGGGCAGCTTATCACGCCATACGCGCAAGGCTGCCCATGGAAAAGGGACCGCCATCGGGGCAGCAGAGCGGGGACGTTTAAATCAAGTGAACCGTATTTAATTTTCGGCCACGAACTACCAGAAGCAGCATTAACGACCAGAGACATGTGTCCACCGCGTAACCTCACGGCACGCTCCAAAAGCCACCCGACCGAAAGTTAACCCCATAACCAACCGATGCTCTCCCTTCGCCGAGCTCCCGTCCCGCGTACACCACCCCCTCACCTCAC